CACACACACACACACACACACAGTTTCGTCCATCACACCTAGAGTGTTCCTTACAGGACAACAGACACACACACACACACAATTTCGTCCATCACACCTAGAGTGTTCCTTACAGGACAACAGACACACACACACACACAATTTCGTCCATCACACCTAGAATGTTCCTTACAGGACAACAGACACACACACACACACACACACAATTTCGTCCATCACACCTAGAGTATTCCTTACAGGACAACAGACACACACACACACACAATTTCGTCCATCACACCTAGAGTGTTCCTTACAGGACAACAGACACACACACACACACACACACACACAATTTCGTCCATCACACCTAGAGTGTTCCTTACAGGACAACAGACACACACACCGTCTCTAAGAAGATGGAGAAAGTCTCAAGATTTACGAGATGACGATGCCTCCTTAGCAACTTACCTCCAGTCAGGAAGACAGCAGTCATCCAAAGCAGTGTTTCCCAAGTAATACGCGGATAGAAATATGCTAACCTGATCAAATACCACGGCCAAAGCAGTCTGGGCGAGGCAGCATAATATATTTTGCTAGTAGAGTCTCATAATACGCCTGTAAGCCAGTTGCAGGAACCTCGTGTGTGTGTGTGGAGTAGAGCTGTGCTACACAGGGCTTTTTAAGGCTGCTTTCTGGAAGTAGATCACCAGAACTTTCTTTTGAGGCACCCCTGAGTGGACTGGAACTTCTAACCTTTCTGTTAGCATCTGAGCATATTAGCCTTTTGTACCACCGAAGGACTCCTTATAATACACATTAGCATATTATAAGGTCTGAACAACCCTACCGAAAAATAATATATTTAACTTTGTTTAACCTAATGACTCCCAACTTTTATTTCCCTCCCCCACCCCCAATGTCTTTCAAGTTATACTGGTATTCCACAGAACGCACTTTAAGGACACCAATGCAGTCCCTGGAAAAAGGCATCCTCCTTGGTAATGGAAGGGTATTGAAAACGAGGAAACCATCAAGGAAATGGGTTGACATGGTGGCTGCCACACGGGATGGAACATAAGAGCAACTGTATGGATGCTGCAGGCAGGCCCAGGCAGAGTGTTCCCCTCTGCTGTGGAGAGGAGTGCTGAGTCGGACCAGCTCACCAGCACCAACAACAATCTGAAGAAAAGATGGTGTGTGCTGCTGCGGGCTCTCCCACCCCCGCTTATATGTTTCTGTAAAATTCTGCCATCTCCGGTTAGGGTAGCCTCCGCCAAACTGAAGCTTAGGGTCTGTGGCCGTTTGTTATCAGGGTGGCTGGTTAGATAGTCAATTACACTCCCTCACCACCACCCATTTTTTCTGGCCCTTCTGTTCAATATTTGAGTAATAGTTTTATGAAGGGAACTATTTCTCTATCTCCAAGAAGACATCCAGAGTGAAAAAACAATATAGCCCAAGAAAACAATATAGACCGATACAGCTTTGAAGGGGCAAGCAACCATGTACAATTGTCCACTACAGATCAGTAAGAGTACATGTAAACCAATGCTTACCTGACCTATTGGGTTGCCTGCCCCGTGGAACCTGCATACTGTTTCTGGGTCTTACATCTGGGCAATTTCACTCTGAGGCTTAAGACAGTTCATGTAAACCAATGCTTACCTGACCTATTGGGTTGCCTGCCCTGTGGAACAAGCATGCTGTTTCTGGGTCTTATATCCGGGCAACTTCACTCTGAGGCTTGCTGCTTCCACAGGGATTCCCGAGACTTGGGCATCTGGATCACCAGAGCTGCTTATCATCGATGTGGGTTAGGTTCCTCCAGAGCTAGAGCTCTCCCAAGACTTGGAAACAAGACTTTGCAAAGCATATTGTCAGAAAATGGTTTTTAGTTGCCTTTTAGAAGTTATTATTTTATAACTAGGGAGTCCCTGAGGGTGCAAACAATTAGAGCTGAACTAGCTAAAAGGTTGGCGGTCCAAAGCCACCCCGATGGGGCTCAGAAGAGAGCTGGAGACGGTCTGTTTCCCCAAGTTCACAGCCGTGAAAGTCCTGGAGAGCCTTTCTACTCTGCACCCACGGCTCACCAAGAGTCAGTCAACAACAACTAGCAACAAAAACTTCTCTTTCCATATAGACTACAACCCCGAGTCATTTTGTTTTCACTCACCATTCACAGGCGCCTACTACGTGCAGGTCCCTCACTGCAGAGAAAGCAGAATTCCATTTTTAGAGAGTCACAGGTAAAGGTATTTGGCCCCGAGGACTGGCAGGCTGGTGGGAGGGAATGGGAATGAGCCATACACAGAGCATTCCCATTGTGGCCTTGTCTTTCCAGCAGGTTTTATGATCCCACTTCGGCAGTCTACGGATCTTCTACCTTTGCATTGCCTCATCTCTCTCTGGGCCAATCTCATGTAGGCCCTTTGCAAAGGCAACGCGTGCCATTAACCGGAGCCCATTGGGACAATACCCTCCCACGTTGCGTCTTAGTACAGCTTTCCTTTTAAGACCAGGGTTTGATTTATTTGTCAACTCACTTCACTCTTTTAAATTATGTGCATCTCATTCCACTCAGTCACCAAGGCAGCTGATTTCAGGTGTTGACATTACACCCAGTAT